GCAGTGAACGATGTAGTCGGATTTGGAGAGTATCGGATGGTTTTGAATCTGTGTTTGTGTCTCCGTGTGTGTGCGTGTGTGTGTGAGTGCGTGTACGTATTTACGTCTTTCAGTTTGAGCAACTCAACTTATCTTATTCCACGCTCCTCCATAATAGTCTTGGTGCGTTTTCTTTTCTTCTCCCTCTAATACTCTTTCCCGGTTCAGCCCGTTCATCGTTTACCCTTCCTCCTTCACAAATCCGAACCCAACCACCCAGACTCCCCTATATCCTGCACGTACGTATCGTTCCATATATAGCCGCAGCAGTCGTGGCAAATGATAAACCGGGGTTGTGGTACTCGAAAAGGGAGGAAAATTTATGAACCTGACAACTTTTGCCTTATCACCATCATCATCGTGAGCAGTTTGCCACCATCCCGGTATTCCCCAGTGCGGAGAGGGGGTGTTTGAGTGCTGTCAAACTTGTTCAGGAATTTTAACAAATGGATGAGTAGGCGTTTATACGGTTTGAGCAAGTTTGGGGGAGAGGGGTTAAAGAATAAAGACTGGTTCGAATGAGGGGCGGAGAATGCCCAAACCGGTCGATCGATCATATTTTGCTTTGGGAATTTCGTTTGTGTTGATGATGGTGTCATTTTTGTTGATAAGGATGTGAAGATGTGAGAAAATTTATTGGTTCGGTTTCTTCGAGAAAGTTTGAAGGAATAAAGAAATTCGAATCCTTGCAACGGACTAAGTGATAAACTCTGATAGCGTGACATAGGACGAACAACCAATTTGCTTTTCGCACATTCAAATTTTTCTAGTATTCACTTAGCCCTATCGGGACAATGTTGCGCCTGCTTATTCGACTGGTCTATAAAGAACATTAAATTTAGTCATAGTTCAAGAATACACTTGAGCTGAAGAATGCAATCACTAACTAAGCTGTCATTGTGAGCGTTCTGCCAGAAAAAGATCAACTCAAGTTTTAGTATCACTTATTGACACGCTAGACAGAGTTTGAGAATCATCCTCTAAATGCAACCGACACTGAATCGGTACTGACTCACTGATCAATATCTCGCAATGCCTTATTGATCATTGTGTGAGTCTTGCTATCCAAATTCCATTCTAGACGGCGTGGGAAGGCCAGATCACATACCGAAGGAAATCGAACTAGACGCCATCGACGCACTTCTTGCCTGTGGGGAAAAGATAACAGAAACAATGCATCATTTCCACTTTTCTTTGGGGAAAATAGTAAGATCAATAAATGAGAGAATAGTGAAATTGAATTTGGATAAGAAGAAAACAAAAAATGTCGGATTGCGGTTTGGTGTATCGATTAATATCTAGTATCCAAGGAAAATTCTCACATACCGATATATACTTTTGTCATAGCTCGTATTTTTGGTAAAAGTGCAAACCCTGATATCCGAATCAATGATGACTTCTATTGATGTCCAGACCACTGAGTTGATTAAGTAAATTGTGAACCTATTGTAAAACGATGGTTACATGGTTTCCTGCTAAAAAGGGCCAATTCTATGTAATAACGAAGAAGGTATCCAGCAGTGATTGGCGTAGGTTGAAAACCAATTTTACTCAACTCTCACGAGAATGAGTGAATTCTGTGATGGCTCCACAAGTAGTGGGGTAAAGACTGTTTCCAAAAGCCAAAGAGATAGATATCACTAAAGTGCTTTGAAATCATCTCACTGTTTTAACGAACCATCATCACGTTTAACAAAAAACACTCTAACCAAAATGAATGCAGAACTCTGAGTTGCCGAGTCTACCGCTGGAGCAGAAAAATTAATTTTGTGGTCACTGTTCCTCGCACGTTACGAAATTGATCATCAGACGTTTATTATCGCCGATGAATGACACCAAACATTCGGGCGAATCGTGAACCAAAGGCGGAACATCAGGTGTATGTTTTTAGTTTCTTTCCCGTTGGCGGTGACCGAAGGGCTACGATAACTGTCATTCTGACTATAGAACCATGGCGTTACACTTGAATGTTTTGATGTACTATTTCACTCTACAATTTTCCCATCGTCAGCAAACTGTCTACAGTAGTTTCCTCGAATCTACCAATCTGAGATTTGCCTCGTCCACTGCATAAGCATTCACGACAAGTAAAACCGAGTATACTATTTCCAGTGTCATTGTGTCCATCTTATGCTAAAAGACTGTGAGAAAACGCCTTGAATAGAAACTTTGACCAGATAATGTTGGAAGATACTTCAACTCACATGTACTGTAGAATATGTTCAATGAGCCGAATCACAGCGATTCCTTCAGCCACCGAATGCTCGAAGTTTAGACCACAGTTACCGTCACGGGAAATAATAAACTACAAGTATAGGTGAGGGATAAAAGGGAAGAATCAGTGAGGAAATTCATATAACAGTCATTTTTGTTCGACTCAAGAATATGCTGAACAAATTTCAAGAAGAGAAATGAATCATTTGCCAAAGAAACTCCTTTCCTTCACGGGAAACTTATTTTCCTGTGCTATGCAAATCGTGAAATAAATAGCCCTTTTTACCAGTTTTAATAAACAGAGCACTGTGTAATCTCAGAACATAAGAGAGCAAGTGAAAACATCTGTTGTGCAACGCGACATTCGATAAACGAACAAACAAGTGAAAATTACCACACAGAAATCAGTCACCTCCAGTTGTGCACGTTAATACGCACCAGTCATGCATATATTCCGTTAAGTTTATTGGCTAGACAACAACTCAGGCAACGTTTGGAAATTGGCACGCGGTCACTCAAACAATGACTGAAATCAAACAATAATGGCGGTGATTGATGATGAAGATGATGATAACCCCCAATCGATGTGTATTACCTCCGGGTCTTGAATTCAACCACTGGAATGCAGCACACAATGCAGCTGGGATCGGTAAAAATAAGCTTGACACAAGATGGGCATACAAACCACAGTGATTACTCACATCAGATGATTTCAGAATTCCAACCCCAATGTATTGCGTTTACATGAAACACAAAAATTTATTTCATCAATTTCGGGAAATAATATGAATTATTTGTTGTTCGTCCTTGTCGGGATTAAGAATGATAATAAAATAAATCAATTATTTTAGTTCCTTCTTTATTGAATACATAGTTTTCTATTCATTGAATATACTAATGTACAGCCAACCTACGAGTCCCTTCACGGATTAGAACCATGGTCCGTAGAGCGAAACACCAGACCCCTCGACACCCGAAATATGTTACGCATGCCTACATCTAGTAAACTTAGTCCTTTTTGGTAAATACTGTTTTTTATGTGGGTTTCACTCACTGCTGATGGGTCCCACCAGGAAAGAAACATCTATCTAGTGGTCTTTGTTGACCAGTTCGATAATTCTTCCACAAATCAAAAGCATAAAGAAGAAGTCGAGTAAACCAGTAAAAAAGGAACCCTCCCGCACAAGATATCATAATAACACATAGTATAGTGTGTATAAATTTCACACTGAATGAAGACATGTTAATAGTAATTCTGCGTCTCTTCAACTGAAGAACCTTTTAAGTTCTAGTACGAAAAAGTACCCCTTGAAAACACTTTCCGAATTCTGATGTGAGCAGAATTAGGCGATAATAATTTCTAACAATGTTGAAACAGGATCGGGAGAAGAAACATTTCAGTATAATTGTTCATTTGAATTTTGGAGAATGTAATCGAGATAATATAAAAACGTGTAATCTACGGATCAAATATTGATTTTTGTTTAACCAATGTTCCATCTTAGCCAATCTTTACATATGTATTCCTCTTTCGGTAAACGATGGACTAATTGGTCTCTGCGGTATTCATAAAGGTTTTAAAATTATAAAAATTTCAGTAATATTGGATAACTATATGCAATATTTTAAGGACATTTGTATTGAATAAACGCAGTTCACCATTCAAGGTAATGTCAACACAAATAAAATTGCTTCACTACGGACAAGCGTCAGTTGGCAAATAGTTCGTTATTTGTTCAATAAGTGGAGCCAATATTGACAATTTAAAGCCTTTTTCTGGAGGGTTACATTGAGGTAGAATTCTACTTAATTGCATTGCACCTATTCTAGTAAGTCGACATTCGATTTTGGTTGGCGGCGAGATAGAATGTGCACAACGGCAAATCAGACAAAAACACGTTAACAGTGTTTGGTTATTGAGCCTTTGCGTAGGTACGACAGACCACGTTTCTCCCATTGCCAATTAAACATTTTGTTGCCCTGTTTTTTCCTAAACTTGATATATATCGCGGATCATATTCCCTCAGTGTTTACGGGTAGAGGGCAACCGATTAACTGGATATAGTTTCTAATAGATTGACTCTCAACTAAAACTCACTTTAGCACGCTCGAAATATCATATGGCATATCCTGACGACTGATCGCAATCTAAACGGCTCGTAAGCCATTTACTATTGTACAGTAATAGTTTGGTGATTACTGCCACCTTTATAGCAACCTGAGATTTGTGTTCGAATCCTGCCCCTGACATCTATGTTCTCTTATATGTCCCCAGGATACTTTCCTAATGGGAAACTAATTGCAGCGTTGTGAAACGAACATACACCGCTGGACCAAAAGGTCGTTATCATCGTTAATGATTAAATCATTTTTTCAGTTGAATTAGGATATGGAAAGAAAACCCCATTTTCGCATTCAGGCGCATCGGTTTCAATTTGTTTTGCACTTTGTAACCGGCGACGAGAAAAAAACAAGAAAAATTTCTAATCCCTCTACATATACACTGCATTCAGAATATAGCAAAAAGAGTCGCATGGGAATTAGCTTGTCAGATTTCATTTTTGGGGGCGAACAGGGGACAAAAGTTGGTTCTATAATGTTATTTATTTCTAGCTATTGTTCCTCATGGCTCCTCGCAGTGATTAGTGATCGTCACACCATTTAACCGAGTAGAAAAATAATCAGGTGTTGTTTGTGAAACGATTAACAGGAGATATCAGTAGAACCTGTCCGAGTCATTTGGCCGGTCAGATCTGACCAAACTTCCCTAAGTGCATTCTCATGGGATCAATGTCCAAATTTCTGAGTTAATGTTAATCTGCTCAGACCTGATCCCTCAACCTCACCACACGTGAACTTGCGCTTGTCAGATATAATCTTTCTCAACAAAACGCATCAAACTACTCCCAAGATACCAGTTTCAATTCGTTCATGATCCCTATCGTATCCTCCCCACCCCGACCGGCCGCCTGCCCTAACCGACCCATATACACAAACAACTTCGGGCTCAATCCCCAAAGCGAACTGTCTCATTGGTGTAACTCACGTGACAAAGTCGGGGACAAACAGTGACGACCCTATTTAACATTGTGTGTGTGTATTGCAACGTGTTTCGTGCTGCGGATATCTGGGCGTTCTCACTGAGGACAAGAAATGAATATCATTCATCGATTGATCACTCACTTATAATTATAAAGCTTTAACAAATCATGAAAGTTAAACTGTCTCTATTCGAACGGAATAGAAGCAGAACTATTTCAGAATGACTAATCTTTGATTCGTTCACACGAATTTCCATTTCGGTCCGTATCCTGTGCACGAATGACTCAGAACACTCAACCCTACTAAACACATTGTGGTGAGCGAAATGTTATTCGTTTGAAATCAGGGAATGTACACCAGATATTTTCATAATAATGAAGTAAGTTCATAGAACAGAATCCCGTAACATTTCAGTTACTGCTCTACTAAACAGAATTTTCAATTTTCAGTCTACCTGACAAATTCACAAACTCCTCGTGTTATGGTCCTGTCCTCAGGGTTACAAACAGTAGGGCGGTAATCAGAGAAAGAAAAACACTTTAAAAAGCCC